TAATAAATATGTGTGTGTAATGTATATTACACGAACGATCAGTAATGATTACCCCTTCGACAGATGCCTGGTCTCATTCTCAGGAGGTTGCGGCACCAATTCGCGATGTTCTGACTCCACGGGGTCTTTACAACGTGACCACTGTGTTCTCAACGTGTCTCGGGGAGACAAAGGCGGCCGGGCGTGGTGCTGGAGAATGAATGTGTGTGGGGGGGGGGATTACTGAACTGCGTGGCATCGATAGGAATATTCCAAATATTGTAATTCCAGTGCTCTCTGTAACAGCACACAAAAATGCGGATTGTATTTGTATATTATATTATTATATCTAAATCCGTTATGACATGTACAAAGACAAAGATCCCCCGTATAGCCTTAGCATACTGTTGTGGCAAGTACCGTTAGCGAGTCGCACCTATGAAGGCCGGCACGGCACACGAGGGGGTGGGTGACACACGCACGCATGCACACACCCACGAGGCGTATACGTCAATGTGTGTATGCGTGGTGCTGGCCACCCACCCCCCTCGTGTGCCGTGCCGGCCTTCATAGGTGCTCGCTACTCGCTCACAGCACTTGCCCCTACAGTCTGTTAAGGCTACGCGGGAGATATTAGTCTTTTTGCCGTACATGTCACGTTTGTATGTATCACTTCATGTATGCATTTATATATATATGTGTGTGTGTGTGAATGAATGGTGACACATTTATATGAGACATCGTGTACAGGCCCTCTCTTCCAAAGGCAAAAGCCATTGCCGTGATGAATTTGTTACGACGTTTCTGTGCGTGTTAACAATATAAACGCACGTGGTCTTGGGAGCATGCACATACTGTGTGCACGTGTAATGACAGTAGCGTTATCGACACGTATAATGGACGAACGCACTTAAGGTTTTCTGTTATTTATCGACGCATTTATATATATATGAATATATGTATGTGTATATGAACGCGTGTGCAATTACATGCAGTGTATATATATGTGTGTATATGCATACATGTATGTAAGTCTGTGAGGCTTTTGTGTGATGGGGGCCACCCACCCCCTCGTGCGGCTGTGCAGGCCTTCATCGGTGCTAGCTAACAGCACTTGCCCCAGCAGTCTGTTAAGGCTTTACGGGGGATATTTGTCTTTGCGTTGTGTATTTATGTGTGCGTGCTTGTTTGTGGATATGCCTTTGTGTATAGAGTATGTGCATACTTTAATATTAGATGTTACACTGCAGTTACATCGTATAAATATAGTCACACGATGTGCATGCGTAAATGTACGTAGTGCGTACGTACACCGAGTAGACACGTGCGCGTGTGTATACGTAGTACTTTCAAACTGTGCACAATTATATCATGACATAGGCAAGACAGTCTATTCAACGGCAAACGGATGCAGTACACTTTACTATGCATAGACAGTCCTTTATCGGTCCACTGCTGGATGAGTGCACTACGCAATCGTGGGGGTCGGTATGGAGATGTTTGACCATACTTCACCAGCGTGGTCAGTGCGGGTTAGTGGACATTGGGGGGGGGGGGGCATAGATGCGTGGGCACTTTAGTACAGTACAACAATGGTACATTGTCATAGGTAATTGCAGGCGTGAGACCAATGTTTTGTGTGCAGGCAATGTGTATATGGGCGTACCTGTGTTAGGCATACGTAAGTACTCTCTCTCTCTCTCTGTACAAATGGGGAGCGGTAGTGTAGTGGTTAGCGCTACGCTGCACTACGAATCTCGCAACCCGAGTTCGATTCCCGCTCACGGCCAACACCGGTGACGATGATCTGAACCGGTCCTGGGCCTCCCCTAGGTCGATTCAGTCTCAAATGAGTACCTGGTGCGGTGTGTAAACATCGCCACTGGGGAGACAAAGGCGGCCGGACGTGGTGCTGGCCACCCACCCCCTCGTGTGCCGTGCCGGCCCTCATAAGCACTTGCCCCAACAGTCTGGTAAAGGCTATACGGGGGATCTGTTTTCTGTTATAAAAACACTAAACACATTTTAACACACTCGCATGAATACATACATAAAACACGAACACACACGCGCGTGAATATACACACTTAACACACACACGCGCGCCTAACACACATTACGTACACACACGCGCGCGTGTAGCGCACGCACATGTTACCACTGCGTAGATTATTAATACATATATACATATGATAAATAGAGAAATGTTCATAAAAAGTATCACGTAACCGCTCTGTGACAAAATCCTCGGTCGACACGAAGAGAGGGAACCCACGCGTCTCTGGCCATAGAAGCCGAACATTTTCTTGGTCAATCCCACGACGAGGTGATGACTGCCACCCCCACCCACCCACCCACCACCACCATCCCCACGTCTGTGATGTCACAGCGGGGGTCGTTTGGCCATACTTCACCACGCTGAGCCATTGCGGGGTGCCTCGGCCCGGCTCACACGTCACTCGGCCATTCGAGTTCACGGTGCGACGGCGCTAACCACTGCGCCACCGCTCCCCCCCTCCCCTCCACCTGTGAAACTCCGCGCCGCTGTGATCGATGACACCATCCACGATGAATCACCGCCAGCATTGGTTCAAGCAAGCCCCCCCCCCCCCAAATCTAGCTGATGAGACACCGCGTGTCGAAACAGGCGCAGTTTTGTGTTGTTATTGTTCTTGTTGTTGATATTGTTGACTTAAAGCTCTCGTGACTGCAGGAATTCACGTAGATAGAAAAACATAGGTATTTTTTTCTATCTACGTGACTTTACCTAAAGACCCAAAGAATATGTTGTTATTGTTGTTATTGTTGTTGATATTGTTGATATTGTTGTTATTGTTGTTGCTCGCGTCAAACCGACGCCGTTGAGCGCTGTGCGACTCACAGAACGGATGCCCTGTGGACCGATGGGATGTGTCAAATATATTACAGATACGAAGATATTTCATTTGAACGTAGATGAACAGGAACGTGAATGAGGCGTATGGTCTGATGGGTTACTTTGTGGTAAGTTACGAAGGGGCAGTGAAGGAGGAGGGGGGGGGCGTCCATTCCGTTAATTCGTTTCGTAAAATAAAATCCCTTCGTGGTCATTTGTTCTCACGTGGGTCTACGTGACGTGTGCGCACGCGTGTGCACGTGTGTGTTCACGAGGGATACAAAGACGGCCGGGCGGGGGTGCTGCCCACCCATCCATTCGTGTGCCGTGTTGGCCTTCTTCATCAGTGCTTGCTCACAGCACTTGCCCCGTGTAGCCCATCCGTGGGACGGGAGGGGTGGAGTGGTCTTTGTACTTTGTGTGTGTGTGTTCTTCTGTCTGCGCTAAACACGACGCAACGTTGCCAAACACACAGCACACATTGTGTGCTGAGCGCGCGCGTGTGTGCAGTGCGCGTGTAACAGAGCTTGTGTGCTGCTGCTGTGTGCTGCCGCGTTGCCACGGGTGTTGGCGAGACGCCTCCGTGTTCGCTACGGGCGCCGTGGCGAGGGTTGTGTGTGTTGTTGTTGTGTGGACGCAGCCTCGTTTCGAGTGTTGAAGATCCACGCCTTAAGACACTCGGTTCGGGGTGACAATAGCGCTATTGTTCTGCAGTTAAGAGGCCTTTTATCACTGTGAGTGAAAGTCCTTGCAGCGATAAGTGTGTGCGCGTTCGAGTGTGTGTGTCTTTGTGTACGCGCGTGTGTGCGCGTGCGCGTGCTTGTGTTATGATGTGTATCTGTGCACGTGTGTGCATGTGTGTGCGCGCGTAGGTACGTGTGTGTATGCACGTGTTTCTGTAGTGTGTGTATGCACGTGTTTCTGTAGTGTACCGGTCAGCGCGATGCGCTACGAACCCGGCGACCCGGGTTCGATTCCCGCTCAAGGCCAACACCAGTGACGATTATCTGAACCGGTCCTGGGCCTCCCCTAGGTCGACTCAGCCTCAAATGAGTACCTGGTGCGGTGTGCAAACATCGCCACTGGGGAGACAAAGACGGTCGGGCGTGATGCTGGCCACCCACCCACCCCATTGTGTACCGTTCCGGGCTTCATAGGTGCTCGCTAACAGCACTTGCCCCAAAAGTCTGCTTAGGCTACACGGGGATTCTTTGTTTTTATATGTGTACAATATGCGTATAGTTTGTATATAACGTGCACACATTGTTTAATGTAACTTATACTAGATATATATGTGCGTGTGTGCGTGAGCATGATTTATCTACATATATACGTATATATACGTCGTGTATATATTGGAATGTGCATGTATGAATATGTATTTGGGGCCGTTCGACCATACTTCACCACGTTGGTCAATTCGAAAGACCTTCATCCAGCAGTGGATTGGCAAAGGGAGGTAAATTATTATTAGTATGATATGCACATATATAAAATCTCTGAATTATATGCACTACGTGTTTTATTATAATGGGAATACGTGAGCATCCGAGAACTAACATTTTATAAAGCGGTGTGAATGGACTGATTTTGATGGTCATGGCAATAACGAGATGTTGTTAAGAAGAGGGACATAGCGCTTTACCCCGCTCCTGAATTCACAACACGCTAAGCACACACGCTAAGAATCACACGCTAAACACACACGTGTAGCACACACAACAGTGTGATCCTCTCTGCAGCGCTGAACGAGGCGCGCGGGTCCAGCCCCCGCACCTGCTGCGATCAGTTGCACGCAACCCCGGCCCGGTCGCGCGAAAACCGAACGCGGAAGTCGCCGCAACCAGTCGCCTTTAGCGCAACCGATCGCGGGGCTGAAGATCCTTGCTCTGCGTAGCCACTCGGACGTGGGCAAAGCGGGTGCGATCGCGATTTGGTCTTGCGCCTTTAAATGGCGAGGGCCAAGGGGGTTGGGGGGCATTGCTGAGCAGGGCACGGGGCAGCGTAGGGCACGGGGCAGCGTAGGGCACGGGGCAGCGTAGGGCACGGGGCAGCGTAGGGCACGGGGCAGCGTAGGGCACGGGGCAGCGTAGGGCACGGGGCAGCGTAGGGCACGGGGCAGCGTAGGGCACGGGGCAGCGCTCACCTTTGTGGGGCATGCTGCAGTCGAGCTGCGGGGCCGACTGACCTGGGCACACCGTCCTCAGGCGGCTCGGTCGAGGGTCCGGGGTCTGGGTCCGGGCACCCTCCCCACTCAGGGCAAGATCCCTGCGCGTGAGTGAGTGTGTGTATGTATGTATGTGTGTAAACGTGAGTGTAAATATATGTGTGTGTGTGCAAGCGTGAGTTTGTGTATATGTATGTGTGTGTGTAAGCGTGAGTGTGTGTATATGTGTGAGTGTAAGCGTGAGTGTGTGTATATGTGTGTGTGTAAGCGTGTGTATATATGTGTGTGGAAGCGTGAGTGTGTGTATATGTGTGTGTAAGCGTGAGTGTGTGTATATGTGCGTGTAAGCGTGAGTGTGTATATATGTGTGTGTGTATGCGTGAGTGTGTATATATGTGTGTGTGTGTTAGCGTGAGTGTGAGTACGTGTGTGTGTAAGCGTGAGTGTGTATATATGTGTGTAAGCGTGAGTGTGTATATGTGTGAGTTTGTGTATACGTGAGTGTGTATATGCGTGAGTGTGAGTACGTGTGTGTAAGCATGAGTGTGTATATGCGTGAGTTTGTGTACGCGTGAGTGTGTGTTTACGTGAGTGTGTATAAGCGTGAGTGTGCGTATATATGTGTGTATGCGTGAGTGTGTATATATGTGTGTGGGTAAGCGTGAGTGTGAGTACGTGAGTGTGTATATATGTGTTTGTGTATACGTGAGTGTGTATAAGCGTGAGTGTGTGTATATGTGAGTGTGTATGTTTGAGGTTTGGTTTTGGGGGTGGTGTTGTGAGCGGGGATACCAAGTGGGGTCGTGTTAGGGGGTTACGATGGGGTGGTGGTGGGGGGGGGCCGTCAGTGGTTGTGTTCGGGGAGAGTTGTTGGGTGGTGAGCGGTCACGTGCGGAGGAGAGGGGGGAGAGGGAGGAGAGGGGGAGGGGCGAGCAAAGTGAGTGACAGGTGAGGCAATTGGCGACAGAAATTCTGGGAAATAATTAATTAATGGACACATATGCTGCGTGTAGTTAATTGTCTGCTGGTTAATTTATCATCTCAACGCTGTGGAGCATCCCGTACTTAAACACACACACACACAAAAACAAAGATCCCCCGTATAGCCTATAACAGACTGTTGGGGCAAGTGCTGTTAGCGAGCACCTATGAAGGCCGACACGGCACACGAAGGGGTGGGTGGCCAGCACCACGCCTGACCGCCTTTGTCTCTCCAGTGGCGATGTTTACACACCGCACGAGGTACTCTTATGAGGCTGAATCGACCTAGGGGAGGCCCAGGACCGGCTCAGAGAATCGTCACTGGCGTTGGCCGTGAGCGAGAACCGAACTCGGGTCTCCGGCTTCGTAGCGCAGCGTAGCGCTAACTGCAACGTCACCACTCCCCGCACACACGTACACAAATTGTGTACATACACATCGGCACGCTAATACATACACACTAACACGCGTGTATAGTACAGTAACATACGCGATTCAATTCAATGTGACACACGTAACAAGCTTTCACAGCCCGCGATGTTGTGATTCATAATTCATTGATCTTTGGTGTCAGATCGTGAGAGGGAAATGGGCCCTCCTCTGCCCACGGCACATTCATCGACTATTACAGCACTGCCTGCCTTCATAACGTGACACCAAGCGAACGTTTCGGGCAATGGTCCTTCCCCAGGTGAGTTCTCTTTCCAAAAAAAGAAAAGTCGAACGAGTATTGGAGAACAATTGTTGCTCCTCTGCTCATACAGGCCCTTCAGAAGCCAATGATGTAGATTCCACATTGCTATGGCCGGGGTGAGGTGGGGTTGGGGGGTGGAGACACTAAACCCGCACGATGCCACTCGGACTGCTGCCCCGTGCAAGTTTCTCATCGCAGACGGCGGTGCAGACGGCCTGGATAGAGGCGAGATCATTATTTATTGTAGGCACCGCGGTGCCTAGGAGATGTTGACTACCTCGCCAGGTACGCAGGAGGTCGTGTGTTCAATCCCGACCTGACGCCTGCTGCTGCTATATATTTGGAGTTTGCGGTGTCTCTCTCTCTCTCTCATCATCATCACGGTGGCTAGGAGATGTTGACTACCTCGCTAGGTACGCAGGAGGTCGTGTGTTAAATCCCGACCTGACGCCTGCTGCTGCTGTATATTTGGAGTTTGCGGTGTCTCTCTCTCTCTCTCATCATCATCACGGTGGCTAGGAGATGTTGACTACCTCGCCAGGTACGCAGGAGGTCGTGTGTTCAATCCCGACCTGACGCCTGCTGTATATTTGGAGTTTGCGGTGTCTCTTTCTCTCTCATCATCATCACGGTGGCTAGGAGATGTTGACTACCTCGCCAGGTACGCAGGAGGTCGTGTGTTCAATCCCGACCTGACGCCTGCTGCTGCTGTATATTTGGAGTTTGCGGTGTCTCTCTCTCCCCGTGGTCGCGTGGATTTTTCTCCGGTTCCCTCCGGGTCCCCCCCCCCCCACATTTAAAATAAACATCACGCGCTATACATTTCCACGCGATGATGACGATGATAAGACGCCAATGAGCTATCATTTGTGATGGCCAGGTCGCCTCTGAAAAAATCATCTCTGTAGCTCAGTGGGGGCCTTACCTGCTAATAAAAAAAAAAGTTGTCAACAACAAAAAAGTAGTTGAGTTTATCAAAGTTGACGCGCTGTTGACGGCTATGAATGCAGAAGCCTCATTAGGCGTGTTAACTAACGCGTCTGTGTGCGTGCGTGTCCACGATAATGTGTGCTCGTGTGTGTATGTGTGTGTTTGTCTATGAGAATGTGTGTGTGTTTGTCTATGAGAATGTGTGTGTGTGGGCGTGTGTGTCTTTGTGGGGAGCGGTGGTGCAGCGGTTTGCGAGCTGCGCGACGAATCAGGCGACCCGGGTTTGATTCCCACTCACGGCCAACACCGGTGACGATTATTTGAACCGGTCCTGAGCCTCCCATAGGTCGACTCAGCCTCAAATGAGTACCTGGTGCGGTGTATAAACATCGACACTAGGGAGATAAAGGTGGCCGTCTGTGATGTTTGCCGGCCTTCATTGGTGCTCGCTAACAACAGCACTTGCCCCAACAGTCTGTGAAGGCGATAGAGGGGGGGGGGTATGAGAGTAGGTGCGAGAGCTAATGAGAATATGCGTGCGCGCGTGCGTGAATTGGGGGAGCGGTGGTGGTGAGCGCACGGCGAGACACTGAGCTGGCGGCGAACCGAGTTCGACTCCCGCTCGCGATCAACACCAGTGACGAATCAACATCTGCACCGATCTCGCCCTAGGTCGACTCAGCCTTAACCGTCGCTTCAATATCCTAACGTGCCCCCAACACAGGGCCCCGTGACTCCCTTAACACGGCCCCTGTAATACTCCCAATGTGGGGAGGGGTGGTGGTGGGGAGGGAGAGGGGTGGTGGTGGGGGAGGTTTAGGGGGGGTGGGGGAGAGGTTTAGCCGGGGTGGGGGAGAGGTTTAGGGGGGGGTGGGGGGAGGTAGGAGCCTCCCACCCCCCCTGCCAGGCGAGGAGGAGCGCTCGTAAACTCTTGAGACGCGAATAAAATAGAAAGTTAAGACTGACTGCTCTTGCGACGACAAAAGTGTGAAGTGGGGGGGGGGTGTTAAACCGATAACGAGAGAGAGAGTGGGGGGAGAGTGCGACAGAGTGAGAGGAGAATAGGGATGAGAGGGAAAGAGAGAGAGACAAGATGAGATGAAAATACATCTTGACTTAAAGCTTTCGTGACTGCAGGAATCCATATTCTTTGGGTCTTTCGGTCTTTCGGTACGAATTATTTGTTATTATTTGATCTATCTCGAGTAGAAATAGCACGGAGTAGAGAGCGCACGTGAAGGGAGTGAGTGGGACATGGTTTGGATGGTCGGCAACGGAGTGAATGGTCGGGGAGTTGATGAGGGAGCGAGGGAGGAGTAAACAGCGGAGGGCGGAGTGACGGAGGGAGAGAAGGTCGTGGAGTAGAGGGTGGGGGGAGGAGCGAGACATCTTCATCCGCCATGCAGATGAAGATGTCTCGCTCCTGTCTCAGCGCGACACGACCGGGGTCACGTGACCGTCCTCTTCCTCCTCATCATCATCATCATCGCCGTGATGAGCGCGGATCAAAGCGCACCGTGACCCCCTCCTCCTCTCCTCCTCATTCACGCACGAGTAACAGCTCTCTCTCTCTCGATTCTCTCTCTTTTTTTCTCTTTTTTTTTACAACCAGAGGAAACAAGAAGATGTTCGGTGTAGTCGGCACTTTGCTCCGTTCATCATTTCGTTTTTTGTTTTTTATGCTTTGCTTTATGTAAACCCCCCCCCCCCTTTTAAATGAAAGACCCAACAAAATATTTTTTTTCTGCTCTCCTTACTCCTTCCCTCTCTCTCTACCCCCCTCTCTGCCTCTCCTCTCTCTCTACCCCCCTCTCTGCCTCTCCTCTCTCTCTACCCCCTCTCTGCCTCTCCTCTCTCTCTACCCCCCTCTCTGCCTCTCCTCTCTCTCTCTCTACCCCCCTCTCTGCCTCTCCTCTCTCTCTGCCCCCTCTCTTCCTACTCCATTTCGCTCTCTCTCGCTCTCTCGTTTTTATAACTACGACAAGTGCTGCATCTGCACGCAGCCCTTCCCACAGTCCATCGGCCTCCGACGGGTAGCTCAGATCTGCATGCACAGAGCTCTCTACCGTCATCTGCCACCGAGCACACGGCCTCCTCCAGCGCCCACTGCTCCTTGAAGGCCGGCACGGCGTGGGTCAGCCGCGCGTGGCGGAACTCCAGCCCACACACCCTGGCTCCGACCAGAGCGCGGAAGATGCCCAGGCTGCTGGCCGGACGTTGCCCCTCCAGGGCCACCTTCCTCGCCCTGTATTCGATTCTCTCTCTCCCTACTCTACTGCCGGCCTCACTCTCTCTTCATTCTCTACCTGTCCCTCGTCTCCCGTCTCTATCTTGACGATCTTCCCTCTCTCTCTCTCTTCCACGCTTAACTCTCCTTCTAATCTCTTTTATAACTCTCGCATATCTCGACTCTCTGTCGCCATGGACCTCTTTTCCCTCTCTCTCTCTCTCTCTCTTCCCCATCTCTCTCTTTTTTGTTACGCAATCGGTACAATG